TATCTATCTATCTATCTAAAAAAAATATATCTATTTATTTATAAAAAAAAAAAAAAAAAAAAAAAAAAAAAAAAAAAAAAAAAAGATCTCTGTGGGAACCAGTGCACGAATGCAAGGACTCGAAAAAAAAAATGGCCTTTGACCACGTGACGCGGGCCGCCACCGAGGTGGAGTATCGGGGCGCACTGACCGAGACAGATGTTAGAATTTATGTCGAAATGTGGAGACGGGTGTCATAGAGTTAGGGCTTCTACCAGCTGTGGGATGACGTGGAATGAAATATGGCTGGCAATTTATAAACAGACCGGAAAGGGGGGGGGGGTGGGTGGGTGGGAGTTTGATCTGTATCCCTTCTGAATTTCAAAACCTTTTTTTACATTTTGGTGCATACTTGAATTTTGTGTTTCTTTCAGACAATTTTGAGGTGGCATTTCAAACGTTCGGGTTGGGAAGTGCCAAAATTAGCCATACTAATGATCAGAGACATCTTAAATTCCGCATAAGTGGGACAGAAACTAAATTCATTCTTTTTAATAGTTGTGCCACGTTTTTGCCCAAGATCATCCCCAGGGCACTTCTGATAAATTCAAAATACTAGAATGTCTTTTTATCAAATATCTGAATTTAATTTTGCAACACCCTTCACTTCATTGGAGAGCGACGGAAGAGATCCTCGTTTAAAAAAATATAAAAAAATGTAGGTGTCACTTAATCTGGGAACCATCGTGTGCGGCCATCAACCTCTACGACTGCAGGGTGCTGTCAAGGGCATGAGAATCACTGTTGTTTTGTGTAGATCACTGTTGTAATGTTTGGTATGGAACAGATGTTAAGTTTAGAGATTTCACGTGCAGCTGTTTCTATTGTGTGGGATTGTTGTGACGTATTTGGGTGAGGGGAAAATAACGCGTTGGTTTGGTTGTCGTTATGGTGGATAGATGGCCGCCGTGTGAGGTTCACGGTGGATCGATGACCGTCGTGTGAGGTTCACGGTGGATCAAATGCCGTCGTGTGAGGTTCACGGTGGATCGATGGCCGTCGTGTGAGGTTCACGGTGGATCGATGACCGTCGTGTGAGGTTCACGGTGGAGAGATGGCCGTCGTGTGAGGTTCACGGTGGATGGATGGCCGCCGTGTGAGGTTCACGGTGGATAGATGGCCGTCGAGTGAGGTTCACGGTGGATAGATGGCCGTCGAGTGAGATTCACAGCGCGGCTTTCAGCATTTCCTCTGGATATATCTCCTTAAAGGAGAGCGTTGATTGGTTTACGAGTTGGATTGTTAGTGTACATTGCTCCGTCAGGTTTTGACGACACGTAATAAACTTATTGCGTTATAACTTGTATCAAGATATCCAGTGTTTGCCGGTGTTTGATGTCGGTTGCACTGGTCCGTGTGAAGAAGTTAGAGACTGGGGTGTTCCACGGGCGGGTGTCTGGCTTCGAAGAGTGGATCAGCACTGGGCACCATGATCTACATTTCGTCAGGTGCCTCAGATATTTTAGGGGTTTAAAGATGTGATGAGGATATTTGAAGGGTTTAAAGATGGGATGAGGATATTTGAAGGGTTTAAAGATGGGATGAGGATATTTGAAGGGTTTAAAGATGGGATGAGGATATTTTAGGGGTTTAAAGATGTGATGAGGATATTTGAAGGGTTTAAAGATGGGATGAGGATATTTGAAGGGTTTAAAGATGGGATGAGGATATTTGAAGGGTTTAAAGGTGGGATGAGGATATTTGAAGGGTTTAAAGATGGGATGAGGATATTTTAGGGGTTTAAAGATGTGATGAGGATATTTGAAGGGTTTAAAGATGGAATGAGGATATTTGAAGGGTTTAAAGATGGGATGAGGATATTTTAGGGGTTTAAAGATGTGATGAGGATATTTGAAGGGTTTAAAGATGTGATGAGGATATTTTAGGGGTTTAAAAATGTGATGAGGATATTTGAAGGGTTTAAAGATGTGATGAGGATATTTGAAGGGTTTAAAGATGTGATGAGGATATTTTAGGGGTTTAAAAATGTGATGAGGATATTTGAAGGGTTTAAAGATGTGATGAGGATATTTTAGGGGTTTAAAGATGTGATGAGGATATTTTAGGGGTTTAAAGATGTGATGAGGATATTTTAGGGGTTTAAAGATGTGATGAGGATATTTTAGGGGTTTAAAGATGTGATGAGGATATTTTAGGGGTTTAAAGATGTGATGAGGATATTTTAGGGGTTTAAAGATGTGATGAGGATATTTTAGGGGTTTAAAGATGTGATGAGGATATTTTAGGGGTTTAAAGATGGGATGAGGATATTTTAGGGGTTTAAAGATGTGATGAGGATATTTTTGGGGTTTAAAGATGTGATGAGGATATTTTAGGGGTTTAAAGATGTGATGTGGATATTTTAGGGGTTTAAAGATTGGATGAGGATATTTTAGGGGTTTAAAGATGTGATGAGGATATTTTAGGGGTTTAAAGATGTGATGAGGATATTTTAGGGGTTTAAAGATGGGATGAGGATATTTTAGGGGTTTAAAGATGTGATGAGGATATTTTTGGGGTTTAAAGATGTGATGAGGATATTTTAGGGGTTTAAAGATGTGATGTGGATATTTTAGGGGTTT